TTCAAAAATCACCCAAAACATGCCTTGACCAAAACCAACAATTATGTTTTTAGCAGATTCACATCCAAAGTGTCTTTTTAGTTTTTAGGTGAAACCAAAACTACTGATGATAACCGCTGCAACATTCGTTGCTTTTTGTTCCAATAAAGACTCAAAAAGCACACGAGCTGGCAACTAGCAACCCACTTTAATCCCTATGAAATAAGATTTCTTGATGATTTCACTTGGATACAGGAACTCCAGTGTGTTCCAACATTCAGTTGACGTGACAAGGAAACATAAGGTTTCAGTTCAAGAAAGACATTTACAAATCTGTTTTACAATACACAACCTACAGTATGTCCAAGTTAAGTGTTGGGAGACTTCTTTTTGTTTAGTAGTCAGTAATATCTCCATAGCACCTTGTTTGGTTCATTACAACCTGGGTAATATGTCTGCAAAAATGTGTAAAAACAAAAAATAGGTTCTTTTTTTTTTTTTTTTTTTTTTTTAAATTGTCCACGTTTTTTTCTTCATCTCGAAATAAAAAGGAAAGAATACATTATTAGAAAGGACAGACAACATTAAGGATATACAATATTGGTTATGACATACTATTTAGACCAAGAATTATTTATTAAACAAAATTATTTGCCCAGAGTTAGGGTTCCTACATAATTACCTAATTCATATCATACCTTATTTTCATAGAGATTATGTGACTGTAAAGAAGAAATCTCACTCAGTAAAGCAGATTAACCATTACTAGGAGCCATTACAATAAGACAAGTAGTCCTACAGTTTTGTGAAGTTCACATGAGAAGTATATTTAATATTCCACATGTAGGAACCCTGAGAGTTTTGGGTGGGAACAGGTGCAGTCATATGAACGTCATCATTATACTTAAGTCTTTTCTGTTAACTATGTTAACTACACATCTTTACAAATACACACCCTGTGGACATTCCTACTAGTTTTTGCATTCCACGTGTTTTTTTTTCCATTACAAATACGTCTTTTCATATTTAACTAGGACATTTAAATACTGACATCCCTCAACAATACTTTTTTATACAACCATTTGCCATTGTACCTGTTTCAAAATCCAGAAAAAAAAAGTACTGAAAATATCCGTGTTGCGTCTTAATGTGACACTTTTGCGCTGTCACCTTCGAAGCAAAGGGCAGCTGGACTGACAAAAAGATAGTTTTGTTGCTGGTTATTTGACAGACCAAAGGTTAAGTGAAGTCCACCCAGACCAATAACCCCTCACTGCTGAGGGGTTATTGTATTTACTAGTTTCCTGCAGACAGAATTTGAGTGTGCTGTTACTGACGCAACGAGGTATGGAGTTGAAACCACCCAAAGACAAAATATGTAATGTGACAGAGAAGGAAAGCACAGCCAAGAAGAAAAAAAGTGAAGTAACAAATAAAACTATTAATAATGTTGTTCAATAAAAAAAAAAAAAAGCCGCCTCAGCTGCTGTATCAAAGCAAGCCAAAGCACCACTCCAACTCAAAACTCAAAAATAGTAAAGTAACATGCATAAACATTAACTCAAAAATAGTAAAGTAACATGCATTAAAAGAGTGCTCTTGTGTCCGTGTCACTTCCTGCTTCTGCCCTGCGCTCTCAGAGCAACTTCAGGAAAATGTGTTTGTACATTATTCCGGCACTCAGTGGAGTCTACCTCCATTAGCTTACTTCATACTGGCTCAGCCTCCATTGACCAAGTAATGACATAGTGGAGTTGTCGTTTTGTTTTAATACAGGGGTCCAGATCCATCGTCCTGAGGGAAATGTGAATAGAACAGAGTTTCCATGTAGGAAACGAATCCGCTGCTGGGTGTGTAGCTATGCTGCAGGGACAGGGGAGGGGACGGCACAGAAAGCAGGGGGTCAGAGTTCAATGTCGACTGAAAGGGGTTTATCTGTGGGGTCAGCAGGGATGACTCTATGACAGTGTCGGCGAGGGTGAAGTTTGTGTCCATTGGTGTTTCAGGCTCTGTCTGAACACTGTTGGTGGGATAGGGGGCGTTCTGTGGGACCAAGCTTAGCTGAGATAGGTGTTGTGAGGTCTGCGGTGTATTCAATCTGTCACCTTGTGCTGCTTCTACAGGGGCTGAAGTGATTGGGCAGACGGGATGACTCGTCGTTTTGACGGAGGTCTCTGGGGGCGGGGCGGGGGCAGAAGGCAGACGACGGCGCTTGGCTGCTTGTGCTTCATCTGCTAAAGGGACTTCCTCCGTGGGTACAGGGATTGCCTGAAAACACAAAAAAAAACCCAAAAAAACCAAACGACTTCCTTAAATAAGATAAATGTGACTGGTTCTACTTCTCTTAGTTCATTCATACAAAAAGGTAGCCTTGGTCACCAGGGAGCTGAATTTCACAGAAATACTTACAAGTCTGCTGCGGACCCTTTTGGGCAGATCTTGGTCTAAAGTATGGATTTCGGACTGTTTAAGCATCAGCTGAGTCTGGTTGTGAAACTCGACCTTTACACAAAAAAACAACAAGGTAAACACTTCACATTTCTTTCAACTGTTCTTTTTTCCCCTCTGATCAGGAAACACAAATTAGAAAGAAAAAAAAGTTTTAACAAGAATCTCAAAGGTTGGATCTCATCCATGACAACATGGGTCATCAACAACTATTGTTTTGCTTCAATGTCCTTGACCATAGCAGTGAACCCCAAGCTGCTTGATGACTGAATAAGAACACTGGCTTACTGCTTTAAATAAAATGTTAATATTTTTTTTTTAGAAAAAAAAAATCTGGAGCAAAACAAGGCAAAGGTCACAGTGACCACCTGGAGGCTTGTGTTTTGGTTTCTTAACAGTGTTCTGTATCTTTAACACTGGGTTACACAGGGACCAGAGGTGAGTAAAAAAAACAAAAAAACAACATTGTTATGGTTTCAGAAGAGACTCAGACACAACAATCAACTCTGGGTAAAAAAAAAAAGGCAAAGAACAAGTTCAGTCATGGTATCTGTGCCTACATCAGAAGACTAATGTTGTAGTTGAAGCTAAAGATGATGAATGGGAGCCTCTAGTGTTTTAAAATAAAGTCAAATCAAAGCAGTTTGGGAGATAAAAATGTTTTGTTCCTTCTTCAGGGCTGCAAACCACAATTTGGAGACTGGCTATCTTAGTTAGATGAATGTATTACAGAAGCCTGGTGCTCAGGATGATTTAATCAGCCCTTAAATCAGATTAAGATGTGCTTCACAAACTGGTTATTGAACAGTTATTGAATTTCTGCAACAGTTTCACAGCAAAATAGAACACTGAGCTATATAAAATTTGTAAGTACACAATTTTCCCAGCATGCATCTTAACTTTTCCATCCATGGATGGAAAGATTTGTTTCACATTGGACTTAACTAGTCTTCTGATGTGAAGAAAAATTAAGCTCAGTGAATGTCACCAGGTCAAGGTCATTAAAATAAAGCGTTAGGACAATCCTAATTAGAACCTAACAGTAAAGAGAGGTCAACATTCCGATGCTGTTTAAATGTTAAGTCAAACTGTAGAAAAGCATCGGACACACAAAGTATGTCAAGAATAAAAACAAAACTTCCGCCTGGTTGGTCCATGTACGCTGGTCCAGGGTGGATTTGCATTTTCTCTCCCTTTCTTTCTTAAATCGACTCATTCAAATGCGAAACATTTACCCCTGTCTGCTTAGTGATGCTTTGAATTAGTCAATGTTGGCTGTAAAGCTCTTATCACTCAGTGCAGGCCCGACTGTAAATGACTATAAGGCATATTTAACAACAGTTTTGTTTCTCGTCTAACCTGGTAGTACGTGTGGGTGTGCGCTTTAATGAAGGAAGCGCTCAACATCTGACCCTCGGGCATGCTGACCACGACCATCTCTCCACCTTTGGGGGGGCCGTTATGGAGGCAGTCATGACTCTGGAGAAAGGAGACACGAGGTGAAGGAGAAAAGGGAAACAAGAAGAGAAATATTTAAGCAATTTGCTGGTGTAATTTACTACAAGATATTTGTGAGCCACTGATAAACTGGTGTTTTAAGAAATTACATTAAGACTTAATAACCCACGTCAGCTTAAAGAATGATTCAGTGAAAAATGTTTTATTGCCAATATAGTCTTAATGCAGCTCCACTTTCCACTTGTGTGCATCTCTAAAAGCCTGGCAGATTAGGAATGAATTCCCTCCTTGTAGAAGTTTTGTTGTTGTAAATAAACGGATTTGATCTTTTCCAGTGTTTCTGAGTTTAACTTCTCTCTCACAACAAGTTATGGACAGTTTGACATTTTTCATTAAGCCATTCCATTAATTCTCTCATCATAATGATGGAGCTATAAAGCATTTAACATACAACAAAAACTCACCATTAAGTTCTCAGGGTGCACGTTGTCACAGTAGGAACCATCGTCAAAGTTGACCTCGTACAGTGTTTGTGTTGCAATACCAACGATGGTACAGTGGTAGTACCAACTGTCGTTGTTGCGGCCAATCACTTTCTGGCCCAGACTGAGACTCTGTGGGGTTTTGGGTGGAGTTCGTGTCTGGAGAGAAAGTCCAAGGAACAAGGGTGAAGAAGAAGAAGGATTTTTTTTGTTAGAGAGTCAATCATAGCTTTAGGCTGGATCAGGACTGTCTCACCACCAGGCCTATTTGAAGACATGGATATAGGTGAGTCAGAATATTCAAAAACCCATTTTAAGTAATACTTGGTTACAAATATTTTCAACAAAAGTTTATTCGCCTTTTTTACTTAAGTT